AGTTCAATTTTTATGTTTTGTTTTATTTCTACTGTAGCATGATACTTAGTGGATGTTTTTGTCTCTTTTCCTTTTGTCTATTTGCATACATCTTATCTTTTTCGATATTTAGATTAAACATTTCGCTTTGTTCGTCGATTTTCATGGCTTGTTATGAACATTCATAAGTCATAAATTATAAACATTATATTTTTGCTTTTTATTAGACTTTCTTTTCACTTTCATTAGACACATAAAATAATACAATTTACAATCAAGCAAGGTATTCTTCAAGGTCTATTCGATGTAATATTGAATTATAACACAGTTTATATCTTTGATTAAAATTAATATAAAAATGATCATGCAATGAAAGCAGGCTATAGCATATATTTAACAAACAGAAATGTAATTAATATTATAATACATTAAGTTTCTATATTCTTATTAAATTCCTATATTCTGACTTTTGGAAATATAAAAGAAATATAAAGAAAAATTTGAAGATTATATTAAAAATAGTATATTTTATAAAAGATAAATTATATCTAACAGTTCTGTTCTCTTCCTTTATTTCTATCATTTATTTTTTTTCTTTCAGCTTCTTTCTGTTCCTTTAAGTCTATCTATTTACTGTGTAATGAAAGACAAAAATGTGTGATATAAATTATTTATGTAAGTATTGGATAAATTTGCATACATATGTGATATAGTGAATTTTAGAAATCCTTTTGTCAACGAATACATTTTATTTGTACAACAGAGTTTGTATTTAAAAAAAAAATACCATTCGATAATTATTCGAACTATCTACTTCATAATTACTTAAATCATTCATTAAGTTTCAGGCAACAAAATGAATTTTAGAAAAAATTTCTAATATTTTTGATTATCAATTTTTTCTATTTACGTAATAATAAATCCTTTATCATGTAATAATGATTAAATAAGTAACTTTTATCTCAAACCTTTTTTTCTATCTCTTTTAATTTAACAAATTATAATATGAAATCAAAAAATAGCTAAATTTTTAAGAATCAATTTTATTTCCTTAAAGTGAATTCTTTCCTGCAAAATAGAAAAAAATTCCGCGATGCATATTTCTATATGCTCTACTTATCTCCAAAAGTTCATAATTTTCTGAATTTCTGGATTGGGGATTTCTTCTCTGTGAGTGAATATTAAAAATTTACATCTACATATGAAGCAATCTTTGTTGATATTAATCTTGCGTTTACAATTTGGAATTAATAATAATTCTTCCACGTATTGCAAATTTAATATAGGCTCAAAGAGGAGTTTTGATTAGAGTTCGCAGCTTTTATTGTTTTCTTTCCCAGCCGCTGACCCGCGTGTCTGTTATGTCCTTTAGAAACAATTGACATCGATCATCCTGGCGATATTTAATTTCATCATCATCGTGTTAAATTAGGGCAATCAAATGGCTCGCGCTTCAAAGTGATTGGCGCTCGCAATCACATAAAGCAGGTCCGTCGTCAGCTAGGAATCAATGTGATGGTGTAGTTATAAAGCAGTGTGACAGTCAGTGTGACATTAAGCAGTGCGACAGTTAAATTTTAAGTCAGTTGAAAGCTACAAGAAATTATGCGTTACCGTATTACGTCACTATTTCAAAACATTACGAAAAATCATAGCCATGTGAACTCGCGAAGAGATAATAAATTTCGGTAATAAAATCGTACAGTCCACTCATCATGATCTCCGATTCTATTGGAATCGTTACATTTCGTTACATACTTCACCTACACAGTTGCTATCCGCTTCAAATTCAAGTGTCTCGAACCGGATCTGTATTACTTGGTTCATTGGTCACAATAGTATTATATATCGCAGAAGAACTCACGATGTCGAACTCATAAATAACAAAAATTAGTTTCACATGGATTGATTTTAGGACTGACATATGTTGATTGGACATTTTTTACTCTTCTCGATTAATATATGTATAAAGCTCGGACTCTTCTTTTGCTATTCTATAATATTTTTCAAATATTTAAATAAATTGCAAACGTAATCGCAACATCCATAATTTTCTTATAAGTTATTCAAACGTGCTCATTTTATATTTATTGATGTTATAATTTTATAGTTGGTGCTTGCTGATAAATCAGTGAACATTAATTACTCATTTTTAAATTTTAATTACTCATTTTTAAATCGATAGAGTATTAGAATATACATCAATCGCAAGAATTGTCAGAGTTTATTTGATTAATTATTGAACAAGAACTGGCGATAATGTAATTGATTAGAAATGTATGTATCAGTACATTCAGAACGACGCTTCGAGATCGACTCCTCTATGCGGACCCAGCATTCATATGTTTAGTTGACGACAAAAGACAATCACACTCACACGCTCGCATCATTCATCGATATATTCCAACAAAAATGAAGGATAAATATAAAATAGAATTGCTTTAAGATAGAATAGTGTATTTAACACTTGCTTGTTCTTTAAATAGAATAATATACTTAACACTTTCTTAGCAATAAAATAACTAATTAACGTTCAGTGAAATGATCTTTTTCTTTTTCTTTCAGGTAGTGGTTAATAAACGTCACGTATCGCCATCAATTTTTTTTAGGATTGTGATACACCTCACACTGGTCGTACAGCTCACACTTTAGATTCAATCATTTAGGCTTTATACACTTCTCTTATTATAACTATTATAACTATTGAATTATTGAGTATTGCATAATAGAAAACGAATACAAATAATATAAACATGAATGAAAATTATTGAATTCCTTGATTGACAAATGGTGTAAATCCAAAATTAGTTAATAAAAATGAGTTTATAGAAATACTAATAATTATTATTTTATTTATTATTTAACTTGCATATAAATATATGTCTTATGTTACTAAAAAGTCAAAGAATTTTTATACTGTCAAGACCAGCAACGACCGTATTTTTGATAATATTTCTTAACACATTAAGTGCAAGCACTGGGTCTGCACT